TGAATTGAGTACACTTATATATTTTCCTAAGCTCTAGCGGAAGCTTGTTCCATAGTTTAATCGTTTGCGGGAAATAGGACGAACAAAAAGCTTCGCTTCTACCATATATCGGTTGAATTTTACTTGATCCATTCGATCTAGTGTCATAGTTATTATTTGTCATTGGTGCTATACAATTACAAAGAAAAATCGGCGCCTGATTTGACACAATTTTATTCATTAATTTCAATTTATAAATTTCAACTGACGTTCCTAGAACAGTCCATCCTAAGATTTTTCGTACTTTCGAATCCGTCGGCAACATATTTACGTGTTTCACAGCAACATATTCACGTGTTTCATATGCACCGTATTCGACTCCTGGTAGAAACAAAATAATTTCTTTGACAGTGCATGTAATCATTTAGATGGATAATTCAGTTTGACAATGAAAATATAAGAGAAAATGTTTATGTTGATATATATCATCAATGGAGTATACGTCTGCTAGTACAAACAGTCGTTGAACAATTCCAAACGTAGTAGTGAGTAGTTTTATTAACAAAACAAGAGAACTATTTGAAAAGCAGAAAATGAGAATTTACAAGTATTTCAGAAAAAACATTCTCATGTTTCAGTAATGGTATAAAATTTAATTACTAGTAGTGTAATTTCTTATAATCAAATCAATTTAGGGCAAAGTTCACAAAAACAGCATCTGATAACGATGACATGGTATTTAGATTGCTGATAGTTGAATTATATTGTTTTCTCCAAAAGGTGAAATGAATACACACTGATAGAAAGAACAACTTTTAGACTATATGAATAAAAGTTGTATAAATAAAATGTTCGAACTATATGTCTTTAATTTTGACTTTTTTCTTCTTACATATTTCGTTCAATAGACGTATAACAATATATGTTTACAATATAATATTGTGTCTCTTTCATTTTTTTTCTTCGTCGATTCCACATTCATTTTTTCTTAAATATATAACTGACTTGACTGTTCAATTTTTCGTACGTGCAGAGAGACGAACTAAACTTTTGTTTGGACTTCACTTTCTGCTAAGATAGAAAGCCTCAGGAAGAAAACAGTTGGTAATTAAATTTAATCACATCTTTGAAAAAGTAAAGTATCTGTATCTGTATCTGTGTATAGATTTTACAGATGATTATAATTTCTATTGAATAAAACTAAATGGCTTTATTCAAGATATTTCTTTGATGCTTAGTTTTCTAGAAACTCTACTTGTGCTATGTTGGGAAATTTTCTGATATGTTCGGTAGAAAGAGCATGGTTTCAAATTATTAAGCATCCAGTTTCATTAAAAATCTCTTCAGTCGTTCGCGTTTTAGTCTAGACCAACTTTCTCACGCAGCATGCGAATGGTATTTTGGTTGAAATGGTATTTACGTGCAATTATTATTAAGTAAACTCGAATTAGGCAGCTTATAATCGTAGATAGTACATTCAATTCTACCTTCTATAAACAAGGTGAATATTGAGAGCGAATTCAGGAATTTGTTAGTTCGATAACTCTTTTTGATTTGACAACAATTAGGAAGAAGGAAGATATGTTGGACACTTAATTTGAAATAATTGTTTTTTCACAGAAAATTGAGATATTGAAGGCTTTTTTCGTTTTTAATTTTTTAGTAAAACTGTGTAACAAAAATATATTTATATACAATCTTCGGTAGAAAATATATTTTCTAACACATTGCATCTCGCATGACTAATTGTAATATAGATTGAAAATAGTAGGCTGAACTTTTAATGATTAGAAGTTCTTCATTTATTTAGATGCCTCAACCAGCTGGATTAACAACGCCTCCAAGTGCACGTGGAAATACAAGTCCAGTAAATAACAATACGAGTGGTAACGAAGCGCCGTCGCAGTCATCTGCTAACAATCCGAACGTTTTACCTCCTGGCTATCCAATGGGTGATGGGAGTGATTATGTTCGTACACCTCATCCGGCCCATACAATGATGCGTCGATTTCCATCTCAAGATGATTTTTTGCCTTGTCCATCTCCGATCCCAATGCCGAGTGGTAACAGTGGAATGTTCATGGGACCAATGCCGCCGCATCATTCATCACCCATGTTTCATGGTCCTCCAATGAGAATGCGTGGAATGCCTGCGCATATGCAACATATGATGGGTAGACAGTTACATCCACCTACATATCTGTCACCGTATATGACACCTCATCATCCAACAGCTGAAATATGTGGAATATGTCGAAAAGAAACAGGTATTTTAGACTAGCAAATGTGTTTGAGTCCTAGTTTTCGTTATTATTTGTTCTGTAGGTGTTGATGATAATGCAATATTATGTGAAAGTGGTTGCAACAGTTTCTATCATGGATCATGTGTAGGATTGACACAGGAAGCTGTTCGATTTGTTAAAAATGAAACATTTGCTGAATGGGTCTGCGATAATTGCCATGTGACCAAAAAAATTCCACCTGTAAAACTTAAATCTTAGTTTTTACTGTATATTGTACTATTCAAATAAAATTTATGATCTCATTGGTCATTGGACGATACAACGTGGATCAAAGGATTATCTTTATTTGCTTTCAATCAGTACATTTCGAAAAAACAAATTTCTCTTTGTATTTCATCTTATATCTCTTAATAAATTGCGTTAGATGTCATTAATAAGTCACTTTTCATATTGTCTATTTTTAAGCCCAAGATCGTTAGAATCCGTTTGCTAGACGTACTTCTCTTAGTACCCAAAACTCTCATATCTTAACTAACTATTGTAATAGAGAAAGTAAATTTTTTCAGGAACAACTGAATATAAATTAACATTGCTGCATACTTTTTTTCACAGGTATAGTGTCACAGTTTTATAGTTATTTTCCACTGCAAGATATTTGTTATAAAGCAATTTTTAAGAGAACAGATTTCCTTTATACGCACTTGTTGTTACTATCACGTAATAATCAAAGATAATGTGACTAATCATTATCTGGCATTTCATCTGTAAACACTTTCTTGCTTTTTCTTAATAAAATAGGTGGCCTTTTAGGAATGACTCACACACGAACAGCCCCATAATAACCGGCAAGAAAACGGTTCTACATGGCTCATTCACCAGCAAAAAGTCAGATGAAAACAGGCGATTTACGAAAAAATAACCACTTTTTTAAGTGAAAGCCGTGTGTGAACGGGTTCTTATTCTTTTTTTGAAAAAAATTCGGTTCTGAACGTGTTTTCTCTGTAGAAATAACCGTGTTTTTTTCATATAAATAAACCGAGGCTTCTTAACTGAGATCGCTTTTTTTGATAAAATGTGTAACATATAAATTAACATCAAAGAAATATTACAGGACGGGAAGCGCAAAATGAGAGTGAGTGGAAAAGTAGTGATCTCAATTAAGAATGAGTCAAATAAATATTAATAACAATAAAGACGTCTCAAAATTGAACTTCTTTCTTTTAACGAAATTTTATTATACAGTATTGACGGTTACAAAATAAAACGGTGAATGAAACGCAACGGTTCTACCCGGTTATTCCACAATAAAAAACATGCGGTAGCGGCGAAACGATAATAGCCGCTGAGAAGCAGCAAGACCGTTAAAACCGTGTGTTGGAATCGACATAACATTGTGGTAGTTTACTTTTGCCAAAACATATGCATCTTTAAAGGATTTAGGTGCTTTATTGTAATTCCAGCTTACAGATAATGGCTGCTTATGATTATAGTGACGACACAATCTAGCCCTGCTCTTATAGAGGCGACGTAATTCTTTAGTAAACCATATTTTATCTCTTGATTTAATTAATATGTTTTTATGCGGAATAAAGTTATTGATTTGCTCAAGAAATGTTTCTTTTAAGCCTGTAGAGTTTGTGAAAAACTGAGTATTTTCGGTTTCGAAATACAATAGAATTTAATTTTGAAAAAATACCTCGTAGACGTAACTTTTTCGATAAATCCACGATGTGTAAGGATGCTTAAGGAACATTTTGAAAATGCGTGTTTATTTGATTTTTAAATTAAATTGTAAAAATTAAAATTTAATTAAAATTAAACTCTATAGCCGAGGAATTTCAAATGTGAAAAAACGAAAGTTTTTGAATTTTACTATTTAATTTAAAAATCAAACAAACACGCATTTTCAAAATGTTCCTTAAGAGAGGAATCGCCAGCCCGTCAAGAAGCCCCCTAACATGAAAAAAATTAACACATATTTTTTATTAGCTCATTCGATTCTACGCCAAAAACTGGGATTATCAAAATACCCAGTACCCCTTGAGTTATAGGCTCGGTAAAATGATTCACTATGAGAAACCGTGAAAAAGTGCAATTTTCCAAACTTTGTATTTTTCTTCGCCATTTTTGTTGTGTAGAGTCGAGCAACGTCTCATTCGAAAGAGCATACAAAACTGCATCGATCTATGTGTCCAATTAAAACTACCGGGTCAAAACTGAGTTTTTAAAGTTCCAATCACGTGAAAAATTCGTGTTTTAAAAACTGAACTTGACTAAGCTAATTCATGAATCATTTGAAACTGGTGTGTTTCCTAAGTGCTGGGAAAATTGTTTAATAACTCCCGTGTATAAAAGTGGTAATACTTTAGACCGATCAAATTATCGGTCTATCACATTATTAAAAGCATTGTCAAAAATTCCAGAACGTTTAGTGCACCGACAGTTATATCGTCACTTAATTAAGAATAAATTGTTGTCCGCTGCACAAATTGAATTTAGAGCAAAGGATAGTACAACCTATCTTTTGTTAGATGTTATTAATCAGATGAATACTGGCGTCCCAAGTGCCTTACTGGATTTTAAAAAAGCATTTGATAATGTAAATCATGAATGTTTATTATTGAAGCTGTATAAAAAAAGAGTAAGGGGTCAAGCACTACTATGGATAGAAAATTATTTAAAAGATCGAACAGTACAGACTACTTTAGATGGTTGTACTTCAAAAAAATGCTCAGTGACTCAAGGAGTGTCCCAAGGCTCAATCTTAGGACCATTCTTATTTCTTGTCTATATAGACGACATAACAAATAATATAGAAAGTAATATCAAACTGTTTGCGGACGATGTGATGTTATTTAATCACAAAAAAGATCCGTTAGAAAGCATTACAATATTAAACAGGGATTTGAAAAAAGTGCAGGAGTGGTCTGAAAGATGGTTTATACCTCTTAATCAGTTAAAATGTGAATCTATCATATTCTCCACACGTTACCATTATAAAAAAGTCTCTACTTTTCCTCCACTTGTGTTATATGGAATACTTATTTTACGTAAAAAAGAGGTTAGGTATTTAGCACTACTATTGTCCTACGACGTGGACTAGCCATATCAATAAAATCTGTTCTAAAGCATGGTCAATAGTTGGTCTAATGAAATATTATAAAAATATGTTATCTAGAAATGCATTAGAAATTATTTATAAAGCGTGTGTTTTATCGATTTTGAATTATGGCTCTATAATTTACTCGTTAACAATATCGGTGAATTTGAATAATGTTGAACACATTCAGTATGAGGCTGCAATGGCCATCTGTGGAACCATGGAAGGTACATCAAAAGACCGATTATATGAGATGTTAGGTTGGATATCCATAAAAAAACATTTTTGTATTTTGAGATTATTGACATTTTTCAAAATATTTAAGGGTCTTGCACCCGCTTATTTAATCAATCATTTACAGTTTCATAGACCAAGTGTTCGATATAATTTACGAGGTAATTCGAAAATTACGTTAGAGATAGTTAATAATATAGAAAAAGATTTCTTTACTGTTGTTACGAAAGAATGGAGCAATTTGATAGTGAATAATAGTGATTACTATGATCACTATGAGCATTTCAAAAATGAGAATAAGTTTAAAATCAGATTTAATCACAGTACCACCATTTTCTAAAAAGTTAAAATTTTTGACACGTCGAGCAGAAGTTTTATTTTTCAGGATAAAATCAAACTTTCCAACTTTCCAGCACTTAACTATTATCTATTCAAACATAAATGTGTAGACTCGCCTAAGTGTAAATGTGGGAGTGTTAGAGAGGATGCTGAACACTATCTTCTTAATTGTCCACTATATAATAATGCAAGAATAATTTTAAAGCAAAAATTAAATTTCGTAAAAACCTTTACCATGGGCATATTACTACTTAATGAGATTGGGAGGAGTGAGGATGAGGCAGCATCTATTTTTTGGGCTGTGAACTCTTATATTTCTGAAACAGGAAGATTTGAAAACTAGCAGCATGTCTAATTCTTTTTAATTCTATTTATAAGCCATAAATCCACCATATCTACAGGACCTATCACTTATCATTTACTGTTTATTTATTTCATTTTATATTTTATTTTTACTGTTACTTCCTCCTTTCCCTTCTGATTTCAATCTACCTTCCCTTGTTATTTGATTACATATTGTCAAACGTTAGGCCTAAAATGACCCTGTCGCTGGCCTCCTTACTATGAATCAATAAAGTTATAAAACAACTGAACTTTTTTGATTATAATCGAATTTCCTCACTCCAGTTGAAAGAACTTCCAAAGTCCTTCATGCCATCTTGTAGAGCGTTGAATTTTCTACAAACTGAATTGAATTTAAAAGAAATCTGCTGCTGTAAACGTGATCCAGTGCAAAATCGAAAGATTTGTCATTTCTTCATAAATTTTTTTTGATGAAGTTCGGATTAAGAAGAAAAGGCAAGAAAATAAAAATATTTTCTCAACGAAAACAAGATAAATAATAATGTCTACAGGATTTAAAACCAAGATTTTCATATTCTTATTGACTAGATACTATCAAGTTTGATATAATTTGAAAGATAATGAAATGTAGTTTATGATACGGCAGCAAATATGATCCCCCAATCATTCAGTACTCGTTTATCTACACTGAGTTTTCCGGTTGTACGATCTCGTTTTTTATGTAAAATAGTAAATCGTTGTTTTTCACTCTCATCTTCATTTGCTGTGGCCGTATTTACAGCCGCTAATAATTGTCCGTCAATTTTTAGTAATTGTTCGAAATCATTTATTGGGCTTGTAATTGCACCACAAATATGAATAACATCAAAATAGTTAGAAATTTGTGTAATTTTTAATTCTTTTTCAATGCCTTGTTTTACATCTGATATATTTTGAACATTTTTCACTAAAATAAATCTCATACATTGTCTTAAAATAGAGGGTACATTTGCTTTGACACAATCTTGTACATGTTTTAATCCTTGACTATCTTGTGAACAAATCCATACTTCACCTTGAAAACTGACAATTTGTGCAGCAATTGCTTGTATATAACCACCTTTAGCACCTAAAAATAGAGCACGATCTCCGGCATTCAACGGTACTAAACACAATTGTGCACACGTTATCTCAGTTGAACTCATATTTTGTGTTCCACTAGCACGCAACGCTTTTGAATATGCATATATGAAATCCATACATTCTTCATCTGTTTTCAACTTAGTATTTTCTTTAAAGACGTTCATATCCACAAATAGATGACGTGGTACTTGTAACATGGCATTTATAATTACATCAGAAAATATTTTTGAGAATGATGATGATTTGCGCATGTCGTTTATCATTTTTTCCAAATATTTTCTTGTTTTTTCATTTTGTGCTGGCCATTTCATATTTGTTATTGGAGAATAAGCTAATAAGTTTGATTGTACATCATCGGCTTGATCAATCGTTGAAATTCTTGTTGTTGTTTCGACATTTTGCTTAGCAGGTAACAATGGAGATTTTGTTTCAAGTAAAACTTTTTGAAAATCTTCGAGTTTACATCGTTGTTCGGGCACATCGGACCAACCAAGTTCAATTTCTTTTCTAAGGTCGTTTGGAAATGATGCATCAAATTCTGGGCGTTTTTTTTGCATATAAATGGCCATCATCAGCTGATGTTGATTCATATTTTTGAATGCAATTTGACCCGAAAACATTTCGTATAATATCAATGATAAACTAAAAACATCCACTTCAGGACCATATCGAACGTCTGGTTGAAGTAATTCGGGAGCAGTGTACTTCTACAACGAATTAATCATGTTCTAAACATAAGTCTATCGAAAATATTTCTATTTACCGGTGTACCACTGCCGGATGTATTGTGTTGTACGGTTGCCAAAACACGTGCCATACCAAAATCGGCTAATTTTGCACGTGAATCAGAGCCAATTAAAATGTTTTCAGGTTTAAGGTCCCTATAAGATATGAAAAAATTACGTATTTTAATCGCTAATTCATAAAGCCTCTGTTATTACCTATGAGTAATTCGTCGGCTATGCAAATATTGTAGACCATCAATGATGTCCAAAGCCCAGTCGATCAATTGCACTTTGTCAACATTATACCAATTATCTTTTAACGATCCTTTTTCCGCATATTCCATAACAATTTCTCGTCCATCTCCATTACTTGTATAACCGTACAATGCTATTATACACGGATGCCGTAATCCAACATGAATACTTATTTCGGCTTTTAATTCCAACGATTGTTTACCGTCAATTGCTCCCGTACGTAAACGTTTAACAACAACTATTTGACGTCGCCATTGTGCACGAAATACATCAGCACTACCACCGTATCCGAATGGTTTTGCTTCCATGACTAATTCTTGTGCGTTAATAATTGGAATAGCTGCCATTGAATCATAAACGGCCGTTATAAGATCAAGTACATCACGATTAACTATTGGTTCCTTTAGTATACTACGACGACATGTAGGACATAAAACAGTTGATGATGATTGAATATTCGTTAGGCATAGTTCACAAACAGAATGTCCACCATTACAAATTACCATTGGTTTTCGCTCATTAGAAAAATTTTGAAAGCAAATTTGACAACTAATTCGGTCCATTGTTTATCTATTGTGGCTATTACAATGAGAAGTAAAACAAGACGTCGAGTTCTTTACATTCACTGAAGACAAATAAAATTCAGTAATAAGAAGTATTAAAAAGTGACCTTGACGTTACTATTTAGTAAAGGTAAGTAAATAACAAACAAAAATAGTCTCTTTTGTTAAAATACAACTGAAGTTAGTATTAATATTATTTTATAAATATGGAAAATCTTGTTCATTGTAATCAGCTAGATAATTAGTACCGTATGCATAAATATCTAATGATAAAATAAGCTCAATTCGTCTTAAAAATTGAAAAACATTGCTTTTTGAAGAAAATATATCAGTCTATCTGACAATGAATCACTGAACACCGTCTGTCAGCATGTGACATTTAGAAATGTAGTGATGATTTATTAGTTAAAAAATTAGTTAACAACGGTAGCAATTATAAATATATATTACGTCAAAACTAGGCATCCATAAATTTTATCCATAAATCTCTACTATCGCCGTAAAATTTCTAAATTCTACGTTGATAGTAGAGATTTATGGATAAAATTTATGGATGCCTAGTTTTGACCTATAGATTAGTACTGTCTTTAGTCTTTCTCATGTACAAATTTTTTTCGGATAAGAAACAAAGTAAAAGAGAGATCTCCTATTTTAACTAGAAAGAGTGGTCTTAACGAAAGTAGTGTACTCTTTTTGAAAAGTTTCATCCAAACAAAAGAGAAAACACGAGTTATCAAAATACAGACCTTTGCTGACTGTACGGAATAAGCTTTGTAATTGTGTATAAAGCGATAGAAATCTTATTTTTTGCCAATATCGGTTTAGCTCTGTGACCAGCTTCTGGTATTCAGAATAAATTACAAGGGCTCTGGAAGGTCGCAATGGTACCGAGAGAGAAAAATCGAGCTTATCGAAATCACAAATTGTAAACAGATTTGTGAAAACATCGAACAAGTGAGAGCAAAAGTAATGATTTATCTGAACAGAACAGAGAAAATATAATACAATACGAAAGACACAAATGTACACATTATTCAATAAAAGTAACGTAGAAAAAGTAAGTTTACAGAATGACACACCTGTGAACCACTAGAAAAACAACATAGAAATAATGAATAGACACACGTGAATTGTTTATATCTCCTAAACGTTTTGGGTGATGTTATGATATTTGTAGCAGTTATAGTTCTAATATTGATTCATATATGCAAAAAGTTCAAGATTATTTCATTAAGTCTAAGAAGAGAGTACCGAAGTTTGGTTTGGTTTAAGCCTGTAATCTTGAACCAGAACGAAATCGAGAATATAAATTCCCATTATATCATTCTGAAACTTACTTTTTTCTACGTTACTTTTATTGAATAATGTGTACATTTGTGTCTTTCGTAT